TTAAATACGTATGGGGAAGTTAACAAGGAGACATGGTATGAAACGAGCACTTAATGGGGTTCCTAAGTACATGAGGATGAAATGATGGACGCATGTACGGGGTTCCAGGACCCTGTCGTGGAGTGATTCGGTTGAATGGAGGGGAGTTAAGGGTCGCGGAGGTGGTTCTAGCGGTAAGGAGGTCTGTGGGACATTGGAAGTGTTCTCAGGGATTCATGGAAGGGGTCTGAGGAGGTCGGGAGCTATGTTAAAGAGCTTATGGGTTAAGGAATTCGGGGTGAGGCATGACACCTCACCATTGTACCATTGAAGCCCGGAATGGAAGCAGTCTGCTCCGGGGAATGTTTCCATTGTGGAGGTCCCAGGCATGGCTTTGAGGTTTTCTGCCCCAAACCAGGTACCATACCAGCTGTGGAGTCCGATTGGAGGGCATACTGCCAAAGGGAGCTTGGAGGCCAGGTAGCGAGAGTGAATGCGGTACAAGTTGTGGGGCCTGAAGCAATTTTTGAGGGTATGGTCAGGTCAGGAAATGGGGAAGGGTCAGCATTCTAAGTGGCGAACAGTTGACCCTGGGTACTACGTTGATCGAGAGCAATGTACAGTCTGTCTTGGAAGAATCCAATATTCTAGAGGTCTACAATGCTCATGGCGATGAAAGCCACATCAGTTCTCCATTCTCAATGGATATTAGTTTGAGAGATTCAGAAGGAAAGCATGCAGAGGTGGAGGCAATGGTTGATGATGGCGCAATGGTGGCAGCAATGGATGTAGTAGTATACAAAGAGATAAGTTAGAGGGGTGGGGACCAACAGAAAGGAAATTCAGCATGGCAAATGGGAGTGTTGTCCCAGGGACAGCACACTAGAAAGGATGTGTCAGTGTGAAGGGTGTGAAAGAGGATGGGGGATTTGAGGTATTTGATAGTGGAGGAAGCTGGAAGTTTCTATTTGGGAAACCTCTCCTCAAGCGATTCTCAGCAGTGCATGACTACCAGAGGGATGCTATTGTATTGAAAGGGAAGCAAGGGAAATGGCAAGAGGTGTTCAACAAGGGGCTCGGAATAACACTGACTCCCAACCCCACAGCTGTGCTGGAGGAGAGAAGCCAGCAGGAAGTACTAAGTTTGGCGGCTGAAATGCACATTGTTCTTGAAGATTGCCAGGGACCATCTGGCGGGGTTATTGTACAGGCCTTAACCCCACTGAACAGGGAAGTACCAGACCTAACTTGCGTTCAGCAGGAATGCAATACTAATGAAGCTCCCCAGTACATACCTAAGGCCGCAACTCATTTGCAATGCTGGAAACCATGAGTTGAGGACACCAAGCGGCAACAGGAAGCACATCGCTCACTCTTCCTCACTGAAGAGGAGGAGTGGCTGGTAACGGTGGGTGAGTTAGACAAGTGGTTCAAGGAGGAGCGACAGTTGCGACGGGCAAAGACCATTGATGTCATGTCTTGCCCGAAACACATAGCCCACAAGCTCCTTAACACAGTTCCCAACCTCCCCAGTCCCTTCTCGGGACCACAACATCCCGCGCCTCCTAAATAACCTCCCATGAAACCCCCATGAACCACCAGTCCCGAAACCCACATATGCCATTGGACAATCCCCTATCAATTAGCCTCATGGGCTCCACACTTCACGCCATTCCCATTAGATGCTCGTTTATTACAATGTTCCCTTACTTATTCCTCTCAACTATATAAGTATCCTCGGTAACATCAATGCCCCAGCTTGGTATATTTTGAACACACACCCTTTTACATAGGTCCAGTCCCTGTTCTTTTGTACCTGCTAACCTATACATATTTCTCTTTACTCTCAGTTTCTCTAACTCAGTTTCTTTCTACTCTTGTCCATTGTCTCTACAGTCTTCTCGACAATCTAATATACACTTTTACTTCACGTCTAAGCAATCTGAGTGAGTCTCTGAGCTCCCTCGAACAGTACTCAAGCTCCCCAACACCTAAAGCCTTGGTGAGCTAACCTCCCCAAAACCTCCTCGAGCTCCCCCATTGCTCCACAAGCTTCGGGACCTCGATCTAGGTAATGTCGAACTATGTATCGCTTCTCCGTTACAACCTCCCACACTCGGGGACATCCACCCTCAAGCCCAGTCCCCGGGAACCTACCCTCCTAGGCGTATACCTTCTCAGGAGCTTACACACTCGAGACCCCTTTCCACTACAACCTATTCAATCTTCCATTGACGTTCTAGCAAGTACAACTCCTACTACGCAACACTACTAGGTCCTGTACTTCTACTTAACCTCTATACGCCTTAGGGACCTCCCTAGACCTTATAGGAACCCTGTCAAGGGTCATATCTCTTCATCTCAGCCACTACTAGGTCATTCCTGTCCTCAGTCGTGGTTCCCGTAGCTCCCTTCGAGCTCCAGCCTGCTCCTAGCAAGCTACAACATAAACCCTTTCATACCAAACCCTACCTTAAGACCTATTCTGACCCAGGTCTTACAATTGAGCTGCAGAAGGAGCTGGAGATTTGGCAGCGAGAGTGACAGGTAGCTTTGGAGAAAGAAGAGGCACAGCGGGAGGCAGAATGGAAGGACTGGCTGCAGAAGCGGTTCGCAGAGCTGGGTTTCCACAAGTGGTTCTTTTGGAGAAACTGTCTGAAAGAACTGCAAACACAGAGGAAGCTGAGCATAGATGCATTGGGGGGAGGTAGTACATCCCCCTCAAGGGAAGTACCTGCGGAACATATATCAGCAGGGAAAGATGATGTTGACCCTGTTACCACAGATCCACTAACCCACTTGGAACCACACCTGCCTGTAGATGTAGCACCGGAGGAGACTGAAGTTGGGCAGTCTTTGACAGGAGATGGGGTTGGAATGTTACCAGAGGGCCTGCGGGTGGACTCAGTGGGGGGATTTGATGTGCCCCCCTCGAGGGGAGTCTCTAATGATAGTCCAGCCATTAATCTGCAGAGTGCTGACCACCAAAACATAGCTCCAATCCAAATTCTCCAACCCGAATACTTTGCGAGTGACCACCCCCTGGGTCCAGATTTCTTTGAGGCGGAGTGACTAAGCAGATTGGTGAATGCGGAGCAACTAAGCTGAGCAGAGGCAGACTGGTCCCAAGATAATGACAGAGGTATATTAAGTACCGTAGTCATAGGTAATAATAAGTAACACATACCTGGTCCCAAGATAATAACAGAGAGGTCAAGATAAGGGACCAGGCTGTGGGGGTTTGGCTATTTATGCATAATCCGATCTGCAAGAAATGATGATGTAATGCTGTACAGTTTAGGAAAAAGGAAAATGTCAAATCCATGCCTCGGCATTCCATTCTGCCACTTGGTATTCCGAGATCCACTCTTTATTGTAATCTCCTTCTTATTATTCTTTCTTGCTACACATACCCTTTCATTCTAGTCTCTCCTTATTGTCTTTTACTCTACCCTGCAGGTACTACACATATAGCTCCTAGTAGTTAGTCTAGCGCTCCGATCCATAGATATAAATACTGCCTGTATGCTACTGTAGTTCCTCAGTTTAATTATTGACTTAGATTCCCTTTCCAACTTAGTCTATCTCTTAAGTCTTCAGGCTCATTACTTCAAAGCACTCTCTACTATAACCTTAGAACTTATAAGTTCTCTAGTTCGCTCCTCGTCACCGGCGCTACTGCCACTCTGACTTGGCTGCTTCTAGTTTCTCTCCTCACTACTCTTGATCTCTGGGGACTAGCGGCGTAACGGCGGTGTTGTTAATAACTTCACTACTGTCCCACTCGACCCTCTGCTCTTAGACACCTTGTGGCCTCTGGCATGGTTACATGGTGTTCATGATTTTAACAGAAAAGGGTAACAGGTGGATCGGTAATTGTCGCGACAAGGCAGGAAGCGGGAGGCAGGAAATCCGAGTACGCCGAGGAGCGACAGTGAAGAGGCACAGAGACAAGCACAAAGCACAGATAAAAGAAATAGTGATCTCGAACAACAGTGGGATAGCATCAGAGGCCAATCACACAAGTAATCAAAAGGGAATCTAATTGCCCAATGACCAAGTTAGATAAGTAGTATCTAAGAGGATACAAGTACTTGCCTAGTTGCCCAATGACCAAGAGGTCGAGATGGGGAACTAGGATCTACCTACTGCTCTTTATATACTACTTCTGTCTAATGAGTAAGCGGTTGTGAATAACGATGCAATATGGAACAAGAGTGAGGAATCAATATATACGAGTAATAATGAGTCGATAATAAATCATAACGAGCTAATCGATGAATAAGGACAAGTTGTATGGAAGCGTATGGAAACAAATAGAAGTATTGGGATGGTCATGTGAACAAGTACAATAAACATGTGAAAAGAGATTGATGGGAACACACCGCTGATGGTGCATCAAAGGGCGCATCATGAGACTCCATGATGGTAATTGATGATGGGGGTCAGGTGGATCAGTAATCAATGGGATTTGGTAGTGATGTAATCGTACAAGTAAAGGCATTGAAACGGTGAGAAAAGGAAAATGATAGGGGCTACATACTTCATGACACTTACTTGTATGATTACATCACTGTCAAATCCCACCAATTACTGATCCACCTGACCCCCATCATCAATTACCAGTCTACCTGTTACCCTTCTCCTTCTACTGGCTTCCGCCACCTTCTTTGCTCCTAAACTGTATTGTATTACATCGACATTTCTCACAAATTGGATTATGTATATAAAGCCAACCCCTTATAGCCTGGTCCCTTATCTTGACCTCTCTGTTATTATCTTGGGACCAGGTATGTGCCTACTTACTAGTACTTATGACTACAATACTCAATATATCTCTGTCATTATTTTGGGATCAGGTTGCCTACACTTTGCTTAGTCACTCTGCTCAGTCGCTCCACTTCCCTATTCCACTTGGTCACTCTGCCTCTGCTGCTTTGTGACATGTACCCTTTGTTAGAATATCCCAGCCTGTATGACCATTTGGTAAGTGCTTCATTCTTTGGAACCGTATGAGATATTTACAAGGCATTCAAAGGATTGTCCTGCTTCCATTTTGTGTGGAACCCTTCACCCTTATAAATGACAGCTGGTGCTATTGACATCCCATCCCCACAAATCGTCACAAGTACAGTAATGTTCTCATAATCACCGCTCCTTTGTTGGTGTTGAATCTTCTTCTTTGCACCCCCCAGACCCCGAGTTTTTTGCCCAACACCCTTTTGCAAGCCAGACTCATCAGTGCCGTATGTCAAATCTTTACAAATCACATCATCACCTCCCTCCCCTTCAATTACTTTTCCAAGAAGATGAAAGTAGTGTTTGTGATTGAAGGGATTGACAGCGCCGGGCCATGAGTTATCTAGTGAGTGAGTCCAATATATTCCTATCCACTCATTGTGGTCTGATATGAAACAGTGAGTCCAGCATTTCCCAACTCCATTTATTGGAAATGAGCTTCCATGTTGAGCCCTGGTGTTAAGATCATGTACACCGTGTAACTGTGCCAGAGGCCACAGGTGTCTAAGAGCGGAAGTCAAGTGGGACAGTAGTGAAGTTATTAACAACACCACCATTATGCCGCTAGTTCCCAGAGATCAAGAGTAGTGAGGAGAGAAACTAGGAGCAGCCAAGTCGGAGCGGCGGTATTGCTGGTGACGAGGAGCGAGCCAGAGAACTTATAAGTCCTAAGGCTATAGAGAGTGCATCGAGGTAATGAGCCTGAAGACTTTAAGAGATGGACTGAGTTAAAAAGGGAATCTAAGTCGATAATTAAACTGAGGAACTACAGTAGTGTACAGGCAGTATTTATATCTACGGATCGGCACAACGGTATGAAGTGCCAGACTAACTACTAGGAGCTATACATGTAGTACCTGCAGGGTAAGGTAAAAGACAATAAGGAGAGACTAGAATGAAAGGGTATGTGTAGTGAGAAAGAACAATAAGGAAAAGATTACAATAAATGGTGGATCTCAGAGTACCGAGCAGCAAAATGGAGTCCCAAAGCATGGACTTGACAGTATCCCCCTCTTAGGCTTGAGCCCTCGAAAGCCATTAGTATCGGGCAATACTATTAGTCACCAGAGAAAAAATTTTATATCCCGTTAGCACCGGCAATTATCCTTTTTAGTCATCAGGAAAATTTTGTTGGTCCACCGTAAACCGAGTACAATTCGAAGAAAAATTTTCGCTGGTCCGTGCGCAGTTTTGCCATATAAAAGGCCCAGGGTTTTGCCGCTAAGGCCCTAACTTTTCCAAAAATTCTAAGTCCACCAAAATGTCGACAAGTCGAACAACCACCACCACTTCTACCACCGTCGGCTCTATTTCGGTCACCGGCCGGCACCCAACTCCCCCGCTGGCTCCGACCCGCCCCTTGACGCCCGATCCTTCAGATGAAGAGCGCGAATTGGAGCTTCAACTGGAGCGCACCAGGGAGAGGAACAGGAAGCGGAAGGAGGAGAAGAAAAAGGCCAAGGAAAAAGCTAAATGGAAGGCAGAGGAGAAGCAGAAGCAGAAGGCCGCCGAACGGGCTGCCAATGCCAGGAAGTTGGAGGAGGAGGCAGCGGAGAAGAGGAGGAGGATAGCAGCAGCCGCGGCAGCGCGAAACCGCCGGGGCCCTTCCCCAGGTGAAGCATCTACTTCCGCTCGTCGAGTGGAAGTAGAAGTTCCTCGGGTGGTTAGGAAAGCCAAGGGAAAACAGAGGATGGAGGTGAGTGATTTCTGCCATATCATCACCGACTTACTAACTCTAAGTTTTTTAGGCTAGCGGCGGAGATCCGGATGATGGCGGAGACGGCGGAGATGATGACGATGAAGACGACGAAGAGCGGGCGCCGTGTGAACGGTGTCAACAGAAGAAGATCCCCTGCCTGGAGCAGGTGGGTAAACGTAGCACCGTGATATGCAAGCCATGTCACGATGCTAAGGTAAAATGTTCGTACTCCGGACGGCCGGTAACGGTGAAGAGGGAGGGAGGACCGAGCGGCGAGCGGATGGCCGTTATGGAGAGCCAACTGGCGCAGCTCCTAGCAGACAACCGGGCCTTGAGGGAAGCAACCTCGAGGTCGCATCAATACCTCAGACAACTCCTGCGTCGTCAGGACGAAGACCACGCGCGGCTTATTGCCATCGACACTAGGGACGCTATGAGGGAGCCTGCGACACTAGGGTTGTCGAGGTCGGTCTCCGGTCGGCCGAAGAACTTGAAACGGAGACGGGTGATAGAGAACAGCGAGGAGGAAGAAGAAAGAGAGAAGGAGGAAGAAAAGGATGGAGAAGGGGAAGATGAGGTAGAGGAGGAAGAGGAAGAAGGGGAGGCGCCAGCGCCGAAGAAGGCGAGGACGGCGGCCTCTGAAAAAGGAAAGGAGAAGGAAGTGGTAGTAGTAGAGTAGCAGATATCGGACTTCGGCCTTCGGCCATCTTCTTGTAATCTTCTTGTGGCCCTGCCCCGTTGTATAGTTTTGTTTTTTGGACTTGTATATATAAAAAATGTTGACGCAATTTTTTGAGATCGAGAAGCGAACGGACCGCGAGGCGGCGTAAGAAGTAAATTAGTTTAGTATAAGTAGTGTAAGTGTAAATGGAAGCTAAGTGAGAACTGTGATTAAAGAAACCATAATAAGCAAATAAGAGAGAGAGGTAAACACTCAATTTATTATCATCATGTTTACCCTCTAAACACACGAAGTAACTTCAGCGGAGCACGGCGGAAACGGGAAAAGGAATAAAATGTTTTTGTGTGATCAAGGTCCAGGCTTGTGAGGGTATCGGGCGTGGAATGCCGGTACAAGTTCGTCAGCGTGTAATTCATCAGCAGCAACCCAAGAGAACTCATCGTCGGTACCTTCGTAACCGGCACACCGAATATAATAACGTAGAGGACAACGTTTATACCTTCTGTCCAACTTGGAGTCCAGAATTTCGGCAACGTTGTACTCCTCTTCACCATCAACTTCAATTGGAGGTGGAGGAGATTGAGTACGATTCGGGAATGGATTCGGCGTAACCGGCTCCAGCTGTGAGACGTGGAAAACCGGGTGAATGCGGCGAAGATAGTCCGGGAGCTTGAGCTCATAAGACAGAGTACCAGGTTGACTGATGACCTTGAAAGGACCAAGATATTTTTCTGAGAATTTTTCAGTAGGACGAGTAGAGCGAATGTGCTTAGCAAGAACAAAGACTTCGGAGCCGATCGGGAGCTCCGGATGTGAGATTCTTTTCCTGTCAGCTTGTTCCTTGTAACGAGACTGAGCTAAAAGGATTTCCTCTCGAAGGAAAGCGTGGAGTTCATCGAGGTTAACGACGAACTCTCTAGCTAGGTCAGACTTCATGTCGACCTCGGGCCGAACGGTGATATTGGGATGGTATCCTTTGTTAGCGAAGAATGGAGTAATACCAGTGGAAGCATTGGGAGCGTTGTTATAGGCGAACTCGGCGATCGGAAGTAGAGGCGACCAGTCATCTTGTTGGTAGGAACAATAGATCCTGATGTACTGCTCGAGAGTCTGATTGACACGCTCAGTCTGCCCATCGGCTTCCGGATGATATCCAGAGGTATAATGAAGTTCCATGGAGAGCGCTTTACCGAGAGCCCGGAAAAACGCCGAACCAAATTCGGAACCATGATCAGAAGTGACATGATTAGGAACACCATGCTTGGAGAAAACGTGAATAACAAAGAGCTCAGCTAGTTGTTCAGAAGTAATGGTGTCGTGAGTTGGAATAAATATAGCTTGCTTGGAAGATCAATCCACAACGACTAGGATAGCGGTGTAACCATTCGACATTGGCAGTTGCTCAATGAAGTCCATGGAGATCGAGTCCCATGGTCGGACCGGAACTGGCAGAGGTTTCAACAAGCCATAAGGCCAATGACAGCGGGGCTTATTGCGACCACAGATAGTGCAAGAGGTAACGTAGTCACGAACAAAGTCTCTGACCTTAGGCCAGGTGTATTGACGACGTACAGCTTCTAAAGTGCGGTTCTGGCCGAAATGGCCTGAGAGTGGATGATCATGGAAATAACAAAGGACTTGAAGGCGAAGATCGCCGTGATTCGGAACATAAATACGGTCGTCAAGGCGTAGTAGCTTGTCACTACCTAAGCTCCAACGTTCATTGGAAGGATCTTTTGCAAGTTCCAAACCAGCAACGGAGCTCGGATCGGCGGGAAGGGCGAGGATGATTGCTTGATGCAGAGCTTCGATATCTGGAAAGGAAGGCTAGAGGATGAATTTCACCGTCAACATATTGGATGGAAAGAATAGCCGCAATGGCGTAGTCGGAAGCGTCGGTCTCCACGATAAGTGGGCGATTCGGCTCCCAATGGGCCAGTATCGGCGCAGAAGTAAAAGCAGTCTTGAGATTTTCGAAGGCCTCTTGACAGCTGCTGTCCCAGATCCAGGGAGCACCTTTTCGGGTAAGCCGAGTCATCGGCACAACAATATCACTATAATTATAAATAAAACGACGATAGAAGTTTGCAAAACCCAGGAAGGACTGAATGTCCTTAACCTTCCTCGGAACCGGCCACTCTAGAACTGTCTGAACTTTCTCCTTGGACATAGTCAATCCGTCGGGAGAAAGAATATAACCCAAATACTCAACAGTATCCATATTGAATTCGCACTTCTCGGGGTTGGCGTAAAGCTGATGTTTCCGTAACCGCCGAAGAACTTCCTTAACGTGTTCTCGGTGTTCTTCTGGTGTATCAGAGTAGATTAGAATATCGTCCAGATAGACGATGACACAAACATCGAGCATGTCAGAGAAGATGTCATTAACAAACCGCTGGAAAGCCGCAGGGGCGTTCATAAGGCCGAACGGCATAACCTTCCATTCGTAAGAGCCGTAGCGGGTCCGAAAGGTGGTCTTCCATTCATCACCTTCAGCGATTCTGACCAGATGATAAGCGTGAGCGAGATCCAATTTGGTGTATATTTTAGCTCTTTTCGGAGCGTCGAGAAGATCTGAAATGAGTGGGAGTGGGTAACGATCCTTTTTGGTAATACGATTGAGTCCACGGAAATCGACGCAAAGGCGAAGTTTGCCGTCTTTCTTCGGGACAAAAAGGACCGGAGCGCCGTGAGGAGAGGATGATGGGGTGATGGCACCAGTTGCCAGCTGTTTGTCAATAAATTCTTTAAGGGCGACTAACTCCTTTTCAGACAAAGGATAAATACGGCCGAGCGGCGGCGAAGCGCCTTCTTCCAAGTCAATCTTCAAGTCGTAGGGT